TCAGGGATATTATCATTCGATAAGTAATTATTATATATTTCATATTTCATACATAACTCGGGAAATTAATTAATTATATTATTTGTATTATTTTAGTCTTTTTAAATCTATTATTTATCGCGGACATGAAGGAACTAATCAAAGAAAGGAAGAGATCGTTAATACTATAATATCCTTTACATATATAATCTAATGCTTTGCAGTATTATTAAATTTTATTCTTAACTGATGAAAACCCATTAGAAATATCTTATCGTGCTAATACAGTTTATTTAGCCATTGATGCCTTTTTATCCAAAACAGATGAAACTTTTTTATCAAAAAGATTTCTTTGGATCATTATCCAAGATTCTGATTATGACTGTAAACAATAAACCTGAATATAATGATACTAATTCATCCAATTATAATAATCAATGGTTTCAAATTGATAAAGAAATTTATATGGATCGTTATTTAATCTCTAATGCTAGTGAAGTTGAAGACTGTTTGATGAAATCTGGTGATATAAAGCGTGAATTGGAACAATTAAATAAAAAAATTAACAACATAACGAATTTTCAAGTAATTTAAATTATAATGATAAAATCTTATTTATTTATGATCTTTGCTTATTTATTCATATTTATATATGGCTATTAGGAAAGATACAATGGCCAAGATTTACTTAAAAGTTCAATTAAGCTTTATCACAAAGCAAAAGAAAATGGTGTATTTGATGAAAAGGCACAGAAAACTTGTGCATTCTTGGAAAAAGCTTTTGTAGTTCATGCATGACTAAATAAATAATCATTGATAAATAATCAATTAATTCATCAATAAATAATAAATAAAATTTGTAAAATCTCATAAAAAAAATTTTGAAAGAAAATTTAGTGAAAAGTACATACATATTAAAGTATATTTTCTGTCATTATTAAATTCAGGATCACCATAATAGTCATTATCTGTAATCGATAAATTTTGAGCTTTTCCTTTCCAATAACCTTCCACTTCACCCCAAGATTCTCTTGTTGGTGTAAATTTCAATATAGATAAACGAACTATTGGAATATGAAATAAAGCTTGAATAATTGAAGTAACATAATATGAATCAAATGTTGGTCTTAATCCAAGAGGTCTTTAATT